CTCCCGATCCACTCACCTACCCGACCTTCGCTGAGCTATGCTCCAAGCTCGGCTACTGGCAACACCGCGGGGAGCACTGGACAAAGGCCTGTCCTAATACAGCTGCCGCTCCAGCTGATACACAACGCATCAGCGACAGGGTCACAGCTCGAAGTACACGGGTCACCACACAGCCCAAGTGCTTTCATTTGTGAAACAGTGGAGGACACTGAGCACTGCTCAGCCTGAGCCTGCTAATCCCCTTGCCAGCCTATGAGGGGGCCTCTCCCACATCCACCATGCAGGAGGGACACAGGCACAGAGGGCTGGTGCCAGCCCAGGTCACAGGGTTCGTAACCAGGGGGGCTGGGCGGAGGGAAAAGAGGCCTCAAACTGGCCAGAGATGACTGGGGAGCTCGTGGCCACATCTCCTGCCCCCTCCCCAGGCCCCTCCCGCTGTCCTGATGGCCCTGTGGCTCCTGCAACAGGGAGAGGGCGGGAGCTGTGTGGTGGGTGGTCCCAGCCTCCCACGCTGTCACCCCAGTGTGCCCTCCCCTGGCCCCTGACCAGCCACTCGGAGCGGCCAGGCTGTCAGCAAGCCTCTTCACAAAGGCCAAGAGCCCCAGCTCTGGGCCTGCTGGGGGCCCAGTGGGAAAGCCCGGGGTGGGTAGGGGGCAATGAAAGGGTTTTAAGTGGACGGAGACTCTTCATGTAGTCGGGCATGAAGCTCTGAGAGAAAGTGCACTTCACAGCAGCCTCCTGGCAGAGGGAACCCGTCGGGCAGGGCCTGGCGCTCTACTAGCAAGTGCAGAGCTGGCACTGCAACAAAGACTAATGCCTAGACCCTCTGGTACCTCCCTTCGTGGGAGGTGCTAGACACAGCCCATCTCAAACAACACTGGCCTAATGGGCAGCAGAGTGGCTGTGCTGGCCCTGGCACTGCTGACCGTGGCCAAGTGCAAATGGGTCCCACATGCGGCTCTGCACCATTGAGGACACAGTCCAGCACAAAGAGTACCTACTGAGCCCTTCCTTCCTGGTAAAAGCCAAACTCTCATCGTGCCTACACACACCTACAGGACCCCCACCTCATCCATCTGTGCCCAGCTTGCCGCCAACTCCCCTGTGCTGTCCCTCCAGCCACGCTGGCCCTCTGAAATGGGTTGAGTACTCAGCTACCACAGGCCCTATGCACTCGCTGTGCCCTGTCTGCAATGCCCTCCCCGAGATGGCCATACACTCAAGCCCCACAGAGGCCTCCTGCTCTCCCTCTGCCCCCTCCTCACCCTCACTGGACTGTCCTCCTCAGCAGCTGCTCATCGTTCCCCACTGGAGTGGGGCCCCCGAAGCATGTGCCCTGTGTGCCGGCCAGGGCGCCAGCTGGCAGCACCGCAGGAGGTGTCCAGAGGGCGGGCCACAGGCGCCAGGACAACTCCAGAGGAAGCCGGTCAGCAAGGAGGGAGGGAAGCGAGCCGCGCCTTTATGCCAGGCCTCGGAAGGTTCCTGCACCTTAGTCACTGGTCTCACCTGTGATGTTCTGCTGTCTCGTTCTCTAATTTTGTCCTTTACAAGTTTTATTAGTGAGGTGATATTGTAAAATTCTGCTTCCTCCAACACCCCTAGAATAAAGAAAAACAACTATAATTCCCACCAGATCAAAGAATAAACGTCGTGCCTCTGCCCCTCAGTGGACCGGTGGCCCGTTCTCAGCCCAGCCCACTGGAAGCCCCCGGCCCCCATCCTGCCATCCTACAGACTCTGCAGACACCGCTGGCTCTCAGGGCCCCCAGGGTGCACACGGAGAAAGGGCACGTTTGTGGATGCACGTCTGGCCCGCGTCCTTCCAGGTGACCTGCTGGGTGCTGAGTTCACACCAGAACCCCGGGACGTTTCTCAGACAGACCCCCTCCAGAGCCTGCGGCCGTCTGTCCTGGGCTAGCGGCCGCCTCACATGGGCCCCTGCGTCACTCAGTCAGAAGACAGCTGGTTGAGAGGCTGCTCAGCTGCGGAACTCCTGCCAACTTAGGAACCCTTTCCTGCCGTTTGCAACGTCCCCAGTTTAGGGGCTCTGAACGGCCAGGTAACTCTGAAGAGCAGATCGGAGGGGCCCTGCCTCGGGGGCTCCTCATGGGTATTCCAGAAGGTCAGGCGCATGCCTCCTGCCACCATGCCTGGTCGTCCCGACCAGTTTGCACTCTGCACAGCGGGTCCCGGCGCTAGCGGCACCGGGGGCTCAGAGCCGTGGACTCTGTCTGACCCTCAAGCTGCAGCCTAATGAGGTCTCAGGGACTCAGCAGAGTGAGGGGTGGGGCAGCCACCGCCCAGGCAGACGTCTCTCTCTTCAAGGCCCCAAAGGGAGGTGCACCTGGCACGTCCCATCTCAGGATGATGCGGGGCGAAGTCCTATCAACCCTTCCCTTTGGATCCAGGGGTGGGGACTGTGGGGCTGTGAATAAGCCCCGGAAGCCTCAGGATAAGCACTTTGGCCTGAAGGGCCAGCCTTCTACCATCCAGACACTCCAGGCGCCCCTCGTGCTCTGAGAGGCAGATGGGAAACGGCACCCGTGGGGGCCTTTCTCCCGAAAAAAAGCACTGCATCTGAGGCTGACGGAAGACAGGTGAGTGAGGCCAGGCAGCAGGGGCTTGATCTGTGGCAAGTACCACATTTGCTTTCTAAGCAAATCATGCTGGGAACAGTTTGCCTAAAACTGTACAGCTGCACACACAGAACACACGTGTGTGCACGAAAAAGACGCTGCAAAAGAAGATGCAGAGGAGCAAGAGGGCCCGGAGAGAAGGAGGGAGCGGGCTCAGCTCAACAAGCAAAGGGGAGAGAGCCCTGGGCTCTCAGCACCGACCGGACCCTGAGCTGGGAGCCATAGTACGGCAGGCATCTGGAAACACAGGAAGAACTCAAGAGGGGCTTCTGCCAGGGCTGCCCCAGAAGGAGAGCAGACCCGGGGTGACTGACACCGGGGACCCCCAGGAGGCGGCGGGCCCCAAGCTGTGTGAATCAAGGCAACCAGAAAGCAGTGGGCCCCAGGGAGGAGCCCCACCCTCACAGCACCACCAACCGGACACCTGAAGGAGGGAGTGGGTTGCAGTCCCAACCAGCCCCCACCCAGCTCTGGATTGTCTCAGCTTCCTGGAGGAAGAACAGGGGAAGAGGCAGCACTGAGCAGCCCCGTTCCCTCTGAGATAAGCATCTGTGAGGGATGGAGCTGGAGAGCAAGGGAGGGCCCCCCCCCCCCCCCCCCCCCCCCATTATCTTTATCTTAGAGTATCTGTCCACAGGGGACAGACCCCCCCCCCCCCCGATCCCGGTCCCGCCTGCGACTCACCTTCCTCGGCAAGGTCTTTGTTAATGACCAGCTTTCCGTGTCTCAGGTAGTTCAGCACAGGCCCAAAATAGGTGGGGTCTCTGTCGATTAAATAGGCACCTGTTTCATCCTACAAAGAACAACACACCAAGGTGAATCCCAGACAAGAAAGCACAGTTCCCACAGCTGGCCCGCAGCCCAGCCACAGCTAAAGGGGGTTTTGGAGGCTTGTGGGCTGTAGGCGTCTAACACACAACTGGAAGGATCAGCATTTATGGCGCTTTAGGGAACCCCTAAGCCGTGCCGCCTGCTTCCAGCCACCTGCAGCCGTTGACCCTGATCTGTCACCACTGCAGGTGAAGCCAAGTTTAAGCTCTGCTGCGTCAAGGTGACCTCCCTATTTACTCTGAGGCAAAGAGATTGTGTACAAGGCCTCTTTCCTCATAGCTCCAATAATTCCTGAGAGCGAGTTCATCCTTTTCTCATTTCAGCAACCGTCCCACAAGAGTAACCTGACACACCTTCCCCCATGGGATGCTCTCAAAAGCGGGACTGATGCCAACAGGTCAGCATCTGAAGGACACCGTGACCCAGGCCGCCGCTGCTCATTTTAGGGCTCCTCGCTGGGCAGGACTGGGTAGTCAGAGGCTCATGGAACACAGCTTCATTTTCTGTTGCCAAGTGACACTAGAGCTCCCCTGAGACTGCTGACCACCGAGGAGGCCTCCCCCACAGCAGCGCCCCGCCGGGGTCCATCTACAGAAGGCGCTCCCTCCACACCTGGGCAGGCCCTGCTTCGCCCCCAGGGCCTTTCTGGGTGTTAGGGACCCTCACTGCCCACGGCACACAGCGTCAGGCATTTTGGCAGGGAGGTGGCGAGGCGGAACCCCCTGAACCTCTTGAACGTAGTGAGCCCACGGGCCCCAGAGCTCACTCCCACTGGAAGGAATCTCAACCGTGAAGCGGAGTGCTGTGTTAGGGCCCCCTTCTCACTCATAAGCATCAAATCTGGAATTTTGTGTAATAAACCTGGTGGTTTCAAGGGTTTCCTCCCGAGTCCACAAAGCTGTAAAAACCTGCTCTCCTCAGATCAAATCCGGATGTGGTGCCAGCGGGACCCAGAGCCTCGCTGATGGGTGGGCAGGCCCCGCTCAGCCCGGAGCACCTCTGCCCCTTCCTCTCTCCCACAGGCCCTGGGTGCTCAACCCAACCTCCTGCCTCGATAGGCCACTGCCTGGTCCCCCCATGGGCTTCCTGTCCCCCAGGGCAGCATCCAACCACACACAGACGCCCAACTTCATCTAAGGAAGCACTGGTCAGATATTGTCCCAAGGGATCCTGCCTCCCGGCCTGGCTCCTCAGCCCTTTCTCCAGACTCCCTAGACCCCTCCTCTTCTCCAAGCAAGGCCAGAAGACCCCTGGGACAGGCTTCAGGAAGAATGATGCTTCAGTAGCCTCCATACTGGTGAAAAACAGCCGCCATTTCCTACAAAGGGGCCGAGGTCTGGAAAGAAAAGGATGGAGCTGCCACAACACGGAATCCAGGGGCTCTTCCCTGCACCTTGCGGATGAAAAGAGCCCAAGTGTGACAAGCGCAGATTGCCAAGCTCAGGAATTATTCATCGGCTCACTGCTACCTCCACAGACAGTTGGCAGAAGGTCGAGAAGGAAAGATCAGACAGGGACTGGGCTCATCTCCGCCCTCAGGACACCCCAGGGAGCCTCCCTTGTCACACAGGGCTGAGGCCCCACGACGGGGCTCAAGGCCATGCCACCGACACACTGGGTATCTCGCTCAGCACTGGGAGTGGGCGGGAGAGGAAAAGGAAGTGACCCAGGCCCCCAAAGCCTGGAGGGATGGGGGATGGGGCAGAGAAGGAGGGAAAGGAGGTGAGCCCACAAAACTGTGGTGGTGGCACGCCCAGAGCCAAGTGAGAGGGCCACTGCCCAGATGCAAAGGGACCCCAGACCAAGCACTGGAGAGCACTGGAGAGCCAGCGATGGGGCTGGGCCTCCAGACACCAGGCTGACCCGTAGAAGGGCAGGGGTGAGAGGCCGCTGAACAGGGGTGGCTTTTTCACTAAAAGGCCACGTGGCCAATGTTCCGAAGGAACTCCTACCCAGGCCTAGCCCTCAGCTCGGTGCACACCAGGCCAGGCTTGTGGCCCCATCTTAGGGTGCCTGAGCTTAGGCCCTCTAACCCTGGGGGGCTGAGGACTCCCCAGGAGGGACTGGGGATCCAGCACCCAGGCTGGCAAATGAAGAGGTAGCAGCAAGGGGTGGGGGGACAGCACGCCCCCAGCAGCCTCCCCAACATGCTCCCACCCATACCCTGTGCTCAAAGGCAAGTGACCTCCGTGCTCAACTACCCAGCCATCAAAGTGGAGGGGCAGGCTTGTCGCTACGTGGGGACCCCTGCCTTCATAAAAGGAGCAGCCTCACGGATATGTCCAGAACAAGGCCAAAGAGTCCAAGGCGTCTGCTGCTAACTGGGCTGGAGCCCAGGCCCAAGGGTGGAAGAGCAAAGAGGACCCCACCTGCATCTCAGGGTCTGGAACCCAGGCTTTGTATCCGCCAACAGACGTTCCTGGTGGCCCACCTGGAGAACAAGAGAGGCACTGGTCCCTGGAGGTGCTGGGAGCACAGCTGGGAGAGAGCTGGCACCACAGCGAGGGGGGCACAGAGCCACAGTTGGCGGGAGCACAGGGGTCAAACCCCTGGGGTCCAGGCTCACGCTCAGCTACTCAAGGCACATTGCTCCTCTCTCCAGGCCTCAGCTTCCCCATCTGTCAAATGAGCCAAGAGGAGGCTGGGGGCCCTTCTGGCTCTAACGGTCTGTGTCTAGTCCAACGTCTCTTCAAGGTAACAGAGCTGGGCTCGTGACCTGTCCTGGGGGCTGGGACAAATTCCAAGGCAGAGGAAGCCACATGCTCTGGCCACAGAGATGGGGAAGCACAGAGCCAGGAGACTGAAGCACACACCTGGCCGGGCCCTCGGAGGCCTGCGCCTTCCACGCCTCCTCCCCGGGCAGGAAGCGAAGGCAGTGCCTCCAGTAACACCCTCCTCACCCCCCCCACCCACCCCCCTGCTGCATAGTCTGTGGCTTATCTTAAAAACCCGTGTGAAAACCTAGAGGAGGCCATCCTGGGCACTCAATCCACACAGAGGTTTAGAAAGCTGGGGCCGAGCACCCCAGAAAGAGAGGCCTGGGTGCTGGGCATCCAGACTTGCACCAGAGCACTGGCTGCCCACAGCTGGGCACTGCCCCCCCCCCCATCTCATGCCAGCTCCCTGGGTGTCCCAGGACCCGCTGCCTGAGCTGGCCTCCAGGGCACTGGGAAAGCTGGAATGGGCTTCAGTTGGGACTCTTGTCACCCCATGATTCTCCCACATGGTGTCACCAGCTGAGGGCAGGAAGCTCAGTCCAACAGCTGCCACGCTGGCCCCAGCAGCGTGGCCTTAGCACTCCTTCCCGGGAGGGAAGACCCACCCTCCTAGACCTGGAAATGCAGGGCCATGGGGTGACCATAAGATACTGAAGGTCAAGTGGCCATCCCCTAGCAGTGACAAGCCCGCCCCTCCAGCCCCGCCACTGCTAAGCAGACTTCAGGAGGCTTCATGGCAGCTTCCTCCATGGACCCCACGGGGCTCTCTGGCCCAGTTTCTTCCCGTGGATTGGTTTTGCTCTGATGGACTTCATTAAGAAACAAGGACGAGGACTTCCCTGGTGGTCCAGTGGTTAAGAATCCACCTGCCAATGAAGGGGACACAGGTTCAATCCCTGGTCCAGGAAGCATGCTGCAACTACTGAAGCCTGCATGCCTAGAGCCCATGCTCTGCAACAAGAGAAGCCACTGCAATGAGAAGCCTGCACACCACAACGAAGAGTAGCCCCCGCTCGCTGCAACTAGAGAAAGCCCACACACAGTAACGAAGACCCAGCGCAGCCAAAATTAAAAAAAAAAAAAGGAAAGAAAAAGAAACAAACAAGGCTGAGACTCTAGGGTTAGGAGAGACTGGGCAGCAGCATGTTGGGGCGGCACTCTCATCCTACAAGGAGTGCTGGGGGCCCCCAAATTCCACTGGGCTTTATCTTGGACAACAGCCCAGAGGACCGCAGACTGACTCTCGTTTAGAGGCACCCAGGCAGGAGCTCTGGAGGAACACCATCTTCTAGAACCTAAGCCTGAGCAGCACTGGAGAGTGTACGCGTGCCGGCAAGGGCTGCCTGCACACTCGACTGTGACCAGGCCGCAACTGACACGGGCACCAGGGCCCTCGGCATCTCATGTTGCTTGTGTTTGTAAGTGGCCCTGGGGCCTCCATCCTAAGGCAGAAATAAAGAAAACTACAGAAAAAGAGAAAATACCAAAACATCCCAAATTCAGAAGTCTCAGGCTCACTTATGCAAAAGCAAAGAGAGAATGGTCTCTGTGACACCCACACCAGCAGCGGAAGGGGACGCCCGAGACTCGGCCACTGGCAGCTGTGGTAACAGCACCCCATCCATCACCTGCTCACGGGAGAAGAACCTTGTGATGTGCACTTGGCATGGTCACACTTACAAAAGGCAGCAAGACATGAGGATCTCTCTCCTCCCTCCCTCTGTCCTCTCCTCAATTTATATAACAAGCGTGTGCTACATTTATATAGTGGCAAGGCTTGAGGTTTTGGGGTTTTTTTGTAAAAGAGCCAGAATTAAGATTGCTTGCTTGACAAATCATTTTCCTCTACTGACTATCCCCACTTCTCACTGAATCTGCATTTGACCTACTTGTGCTGGCTTTTAAAATATATATCTACCTTAAAGGCATAAAAGAGAGAAATGCTGGACTTGGCTCTTGAATATTTAATGGAGGTCATGCCCGTCAGGTTACACACTGTTTGCTGGGGGCTCACTGACGCCCAAGTTGGCCGAATCCCACTCCAAGGGGGCCCAGCCTCCGAGGCCAAGCTGCTGGGCTCCAGGGAACTGTGAATCCTGCATCCCTGAGCCTGTGCCGCAGAGGGAACGCCCTGGCCACAGCCAGGAGCACCTTGCCCGCAGTCACTTCTCTGAGAGGAGGCAGCAGGCAAGACATGCCACGTCACACGCTCTCTGAGGAGACCCCTGACCTGCAGTCCCAACAT